TAAATTTTTGTGCTTTATTACTGTGGGAGCAATAAAGAAAAGTCTCAAGTGTAACACTCTTGGGACTATGAACTTATAGAAATCATTGAGGGGATTTTCTAATCCCCCAACACTTTCTCAAATGGAGCTTGAGAGAGTGGAGGGGAAAAGAATCTGGGAAAAAGAGTAATAGTAGATTAGAGTGATGTGGACACCTGTGGCATGGGCACCGTTTCTTCTGTAGGGTTGCCAGATGGCTGAAACAAAAATACCGAACACCCTCCCTCCCCCCCCAAAAAAAAACACACACTCCAAGACTTAAGTAAAAGAAAAAATTAAAATAAAACAGCATTAAAACAGCATGTCCCCTTTAAGAGTGAGTGCAGGGATAGGAACAGGGGAAAGGTTGAGCACTAAGATTCAGGGGAGTCATTGCTTCCCCTTGGTCTTTTAGCTGGCAGCCATTTTGTGCTGGCAGCCTTGTGGAACCAGGTAAGCATAGGGTCTGGGGACTGGAGGTGTTAGGGGCCAGGGAGGGAGAGGCCAGGTGCTGAGTGTTTGTAGGGTTGCCAGGTGCCCAGCATTTTTGCCTCCTGGCCGGGGAAAAAAATCAGAAAATCCCAGACATCGTAGGTGTCCGGTATTTTCTGAATTTTTTTTTACTGGACAGGAGGTGAAAATATCGGACTGTCCAGTGAATACCGGACACCTGGCAACCCTATTCTTCTGTCTTACAGTCTCAGTTAAATCATACATTTAGAAATAGGGAAGTGAAAGTGTAACCCTGTACCTGGTTAATCAATGAGCCCAGGCTCATCAGTTAACATGCAGTTACACACAGGCCCCCTCGCTGCCTCTGTATCAGAGGCAGCAGTGCAGGGAGGTAGGCGGGATCAGGCTTTTAAGCTGGCTCCCTGCACACACCAGCTCCTGCGGAGCCGCCCCTCCTCCCCCTCCCCCGCTGCTGCCTCTGTATAAGAGACAGCAGCATGAAGTGGCAAGGGGGAGCTGCCTGCTCACCTTGTGTAACCACTGAACTTTTCAGCAGTTACATGATTGCTTAA